CACTTTTTTCTTTTCCCTCTAATTTGAAGACCACTGAACCAAACTTTCTGAACTTTTGCAATTATTTTTAGCTAAGACCAATGTTAATAACTGTTCACAAAGAGCACAAAATTAGTACATCACTGGCTTGACCCCCATCCTATTATAAAGAATGCTCTTGCATAAAATTATTTTGATTCATCTGAAATTCAGCAAGTGGTATCTCCTAAGGATGGGCAACAATGGATCCAGATCTGAAGCAGTAATACTGTGTGGGGCCTTACCTTGAATACTGTGGTCAGTTGTGAACGCCCACACTTTATGAAGGATTCAGATAAATGGAACAAATGGAGAGAAAGGCAACACAGGTGATCAGGGTATCAGGAAAGGAGTCCTTTGATAAATGTTTGAAGGAGCTGCATATGCTTAGCCTTGAGAAGAAAAGACTGAGGAGAGGGGTATGGTATCATTTCTCAAGTAACAAAAGGCCCGTAACCTGTTCTCTATCATCCCAGGCTGCAGGGCATGAAGCAACAGGCTTAAGTTACAGGAAAGGTGTTTCAGTTAAATATCCAAAAATCTTGCTAATGTTCAGAGCTAGTAGACAATGCAATAAGCTTCCTAGACAAATAGCAGGCTTTCCATTGCTGCAAGTATTTAAGCAGAGACTGGGCAGCCATCTGCCAGGGATGCTTTAAATGAGATCCCTGCAGCTGTAGCCTAAATGGGCTCACTTTTCTATTTTATAATTTCGTTCTGCCAAGAAATGTGGCAGTTTCTTTTGAAAAACAAAGTTGCTCACAAGAACTTCCTCACGAACCAATTTCTATGAAATTTAGCAGATTTGCTTCCTTAAGGTTTCCTCTTGACGTTAAGTCCAGTCATGCCTGACTCTAGGGGGCAGTGCTCATCTCCATTTCCTAGCCGAGGGAGCCAGCGTTTGTCCGCAGACAGTCTCCGTGGTCATGTGGCCAGCGTGACTAAACACCGAAGTGCATGGAACGCTGTTACCTGCCCACCGAAGTGGTACCTTTTTATCTACTTGCATTTGTATGCTTTCAAACTGCAAGCTTGGCAGGAGCTGGGATGGAGCAACGGGAACTCACCCCTTCGTGCAGATTCGAACCAGCAACCTTTCGATCAACCAGCCCAGCAGCACAGCAGTTTAAACCACTGCGCCACCTGCAGTCCCTTTGCTTCCTTATGCAGAGCTAATATAACTCCAGTTTTCATCCTAAAACATGAAAAATTGTGATTTTAGTGATAATCATTCATAGATTTTTATCTGGCCCAACTCAGATTGGGTATACTCTAGATCAGGCAGCAGGGAATCAGGCTGTTTACTGAATTGCAAATGGACCTCTGAACTTATTTTTGTGGTCTGCAGCATCCTACTCTTGGGTTCTTGCTCTCTCATTCGAGAAATGGACGCCACAGCTCACTTCAGCCATTCAGGAACTGTGGGCAGCAAAAATATGAAGTGGCATCCAAGAACACCAGGGTAATTTCATCCCTAGATTTTTTATGCCTGCATTGGCCATGCTGAACTGCTGTTATGCAGCTAATTAAATTCTGAAGGGGGCTGCAGAGATGTATGTATCCTGGGGGGGGGGTGTATCCTATATCTCCATAGGGATAGGAACTCTGATGGAACTCAGATCATAAGTGTGGATGTGAGTCTCCTTTCAGAGCAACACAGATTGCATGTCTGTGGATAGGGAGAGCTGGTATGTTCTCAGAGGCCCCTGATATGTTTCTTACCATGAAGAATGCATGCAATGCTTAAACATAGTTCATGTTAGAAATTGCTATGGAAAAAAACTGTATCAAATGGTTTAAAATCAAATGTCCATTTAAGAACTGTTGAGCTGATGTGATCCATGCTTTTACATTTTGAATTTTTTAAAAACATGTATTTAAACACCTCTTCAATACATTTGGCACAATCCTGTTTCCAGAAGGCATTTATTCCCTGCCAGCTCTATTTCAATTAAAAACATGAAAGATACGCTATCATTTTACTTTTGTAAATTGTTAGCTTTGCAATATTATGAAGAAAACAAGAAGATATTTAATGTAAATTATACCCTTGTCTGTGTTAGCGCAAACTGGATCTATGAATCATAATGTCATAGGAGGTGGCAAACTGAAAGCTCTCTGACTGAATCAGGTAAAACATTTGCTAATTACTCATTAGAGAGAATACGCACTTGCATTTAAGCCAACATCCTTCAGTCTTCACTAAACCCAATCCTATTTCCTCATTCCTCACCCAAACAATGTTTCTCACAATCTAATGCTTAAATAAGGAAACAGATCACTGTTGTTTCAAAGACTGCACTGTGGATCTAATTTAGGTTCATACTTCCTGCTACAGGCTAATTAGGTGATGAACTTTTGGCCATTTTGCAGGTGACTTTCAGGATAGGTGACTTATAGGATATCATTAACATCCTGGCCCTCATAATTGGCATTATTTACATCTAAGCATATTTCTCTGGTGCCAGAAGTGTGTGATAGTGTGGTGCAGGTCCCTAGCAGGCTGCTTATATTAGGGCTGGACATAGAGACTGGAGCTACAACTAAGAGTTGCCGGGGTTGTTCTTTTTCTGATTTATGGCAATGACCTTTGTGGTCTGTCCTTCATAAATCCATAAATCATATTTATGGGTTTCTCTCATGACATCTCATTTCCCTCAAAAAACTTCCTTTTTTTAGAACAGAAAGTGGGTGTGGTTTGTGTGTCCATTGCATGTGAGTGAACTTTAAAAGGAAAAACAAATAAACTAGGACTGATCTCCTGTGTCTTTGATGGGAGATTGTTTGGTTACTCAGCTCCCATTTCCCTGTATATATCAATATGTGACTGTTCTATTCTGTCTACTCTTTTAAGCATTTGGGTACCTTACAGCAAATCCATGTTGGGTAAACTACATTTGCAAGGTAAACCTAATAAGTATACCTATTAATGTGCTCTTAAAGAAGTTTTAAAAATTAACCATGCTCCCAAAAGCAAAGAAATTGCAACTTAATACACCTTACTTTAACTTCTAAGTAGAATTGGTAGAATCAAATTTCTGCATGTATTTCTGGCTCGGCTTCCTCAATGTGTCTTAGGTCCTCACTATAAAACAAAGCCCAGAATCAGCAACCTGTGTTAATAAATGACAGCATCACTTCAGGATAATGTGCTCATTATTTGTAATTGCTTGGGAGATATTAATATACATAAGACTCAGAAGATCACTGTGCATTTAACTGGAACCAGTGTGGTTAGCACTTAGGAAGTAAGATTAGGACCAGGTTCAAATCTATGCTCAGGTTGTGGGAAGAATCATTTATGCAATGCTGAGCTCTTTGAAAAAGGAGATGCAGATGCAGCCGCTTAAAGAAAGAACAGCCTGCCACTGGTTTCCAGTAAGATTCTGGTGATGTTTCGCGACTTAATTCTGGTTGGCTGCATCTATAATTAGAATCCAGTTCTTTTATAGTGTCCATTTTTAGTAAATTCTGCAGGGCAGGAAAATGGGCTGGCAAGCTGCCAGCTCTGTCACCACTGCCTATTGCTTCTGTCCCAAGCAGCGAGTGAGCTTCTGGACCTCCCGGCTGCCCCTGGCCATTCAGCAGCCGTCCCTCCGGTGAGCAAGGGGGAGGGACCCGGCCACCTCCGGCACCATTTGCTGAGCGCTCCTCTTGCTTCTTGGGACTGGTTCTCTCCATCTCGAGGCAGACAGTATGTGGACTAGATGTGCCAACCATTCAAAAGTCCCGTGTTTATTTGGAACTCACAGACACCTTTTTCTTTTTGTACCTCATTGTTTGTGTTGTAGAAATGGGGGTGGGGGAGTTGAATGGAGGAACTTTTGAACTGTAGTGAAAGTGTGTGTGTGTGTGTGTGTGTGTGTGTGTGTGTGAGAGAGAGAGAGAGAGAGAGAGAGAGAGAGAGAGAGAGAGAGAGAGAGGGAGAGATATTTGTGTAAAGATGTGATATGAGTGCATATCTGTAAAGGCAAGGAACAGTGAGTATGTCAAATCGAATGCTTTTCAGGGAGGAAGAAATGACTAACTCTAAAAAGTGAAAATACATATTATTTAAATTACAAGAAACAATGATAATATTTATTTTCACTTTTTAGAGTTAGTCATTTCTTCCTCTCTCTACCCCCTTTGTTCATTATTTAGATGAGTACCTTTTTATTATTTATTTATTCATTTTATTCCTGTACCACTCCACAGCCAAATGAGAACTTTTGGCAGGATTGATTAGCGTATCATTTGGCATAAAAAAGCTACACTTATAGGATAGGATGGAGTATATATGCATGAAAAGTATGACTAGTAACAGTAGTATGCTCGGTAATTAAGACAGATGTAGCATCCTTGATTCGTCAAACCCCTTTGTGCATTTATTTGGCAAATGCCCAACTTGTAGGAAAGAAGGAGCTGATGCTTGTAGCGCAAAAAGTGGTTGTTGCAATACCGTTTTTAGTGGCAAGGGACATCTAATCATGTTGTACACTTTGTATCACATTGCTCCTTTGCTTTATCTCATGCTTAGCAGCGCTAGTGTAGCTTTGCTTAGTAGTCAAGGTCAACATTTTTATTGTATTTAGCCATGGGCCTTTACAAAATTTACAAAAGACATAATAAGATATTAGGAAGTGCATTAATAGCCACTGTTAAAATTGATAAAATAATTATGGAAGTAAGATAAGAACTGATTTAATCACAATCAATTGGCTTCCCCCTTCAATAATGCCTTCATTCTAATCTTCATAGCTGCCAAAGCAAAGACAGACACTCTATAAGCACTGTTACCTGATAACAGAAAAACAATCTTCTTGGTTTCTGAGTATGCACTGATGACAGATAAAATACCAGCTAAGCATTTATCTCTATACAGCGGACAGGGTATCACACAGTGTAGAAGATTTTCTACTACATGTGAGCCACAAGTACATACACACTGCTCTATTAGACCTTGCTTAGTAAGTAATTCTACGTACTCCTTTCTATTTTAGGTGGTTTTTTGGTGCTATGAAACGAGCAGATGCCGAGAAACACCTCTTGTATCCTGATAACCAGTATGGCGCTTTCCTAATTAGAGAAAGTGAAAGTCAAAGAGGCATCTTCTCACTTTCAGGTATTGCCCCCCCCCCCCCCCCGCTCCCGTCACACACTTTGTCCCTGCAGATACATTAACGTTTTGGTTAAATTTCCACTGGGTATGCTTACGTAAAATCTATGCTTGCTTCTTCCATAAAGATGCAAGAATGTAAGCTGGCAATGACTTTTAGCGGCTTAATAACCTTCTCATGTGCTATCTATTTTATCTATTTAATTGCTCTTTGTTTATACATGCATGCATATGTAAAGTAGTCTTGCTAAGTGAAAAGCAGTGGATGTAGAGGCTGGGGATGAGCTGTTAGGTTCATCTCTTGCACAGCAGGAGAACCTGTGGCCTTGCAGACATTGTTGGGCATTGCTGCTTTGAGACCCCTGGGACTAGAGGAACATCCCAAATTATTTGTCCCTCCTGTAGTATAATGTCCTGTGTTCCACCTATGGTCATGTTCATGATCGGCAGGGACAGAGAAAGGGCAATCCTATTCCCTCCCACCCCACTTTGCTGCTTTTTTCCCATTTGATAACTGATAAATGTATGGAATGGTTTGTCTATTTAATAAGAAGCAGTTAGCTAAAATGCAAGCAGGTATGAAAACCTGCCTAAACAAAGCCTTGGTTCTCAGGGTAAATTAAGCCACCTTACAGAAACTGCAGCTGCTGCTTACCCATGGTGTGTTCTAGTGTGAACTAGGCCCATATATCTAAATAAGCATTTGGAAAAAGTTAAAATTGAAAGCTGTAGCTTTTATGTTCAAAAGCATCAAAGACAGTGAGATCTTCACAACACTGAAGAATAGGTGGGCAGTATTTAGTCTTACAGTTCTTGGAGTAGAAGTTTATTTGCATCTACTAGTGTTCTCACAGTCCACTTTTACTGTCTGCCAATTCCCATATTGCAGGAATCCCTCACACCACTGTGTAGAGCTGGTGATCTGGGTCCTAGTCCCCACTCAGCTAGGAGGTTCACTGGAAGCTTTGGGCCAGTCACTGACTCTCACCCTAACTCACCTCACAGGGTTGTTGTGAGGATATATTGGAGAGAAGGAGGATTCTTTGCAAGAGGAATAAAAGGCAGAGTATAAATGCAGTGTAATAATAAATAAAAACGACATGAGGATTTGCAATCATAGATTTCTTCAGTAACGGATGTATAGCTGTCAATCAAAACAAAGCCCCCAGAGGGCATGCCCGCCTCACATGCCTCAGTGTTGTATTACCTGCATTACATTGCCAGCCTCTAGCAGAACTAGCCAGCTTTTTCTTAAGCAGCCTCTGCAGTGCTGAATCAGCCTCAGTTATAAATCTACAGAAATAGTAGATATGGAAGCGAAGCCTACTTTCCATTGATCATGCTGCATGGAGCATTTTAATTCCCCATTCCATTCCTCCCTAACCCATTGAACATCCATTTGACTTTCCTCCGATGTATATATAAAAATAGGCAAAGACTTGTGGGAAATTTAAAATGATGAGCTGTTTGTGACGCAAATGCCATTGTCAATACCCGCACATTACAAGACACACCAGATTGACAAAACCATGCTTATAACAGGTTAAATATTTAATTCCATGTAATATAGGCCTGCTACTGGTGAAAAATGGAACTGTTGCAAACCACACATTTTGTATAAAATAAACACAAAACTGTAGAACCTCCTAGGTGTCTACATTTGCAACAGTGGTTTGTCAGTTTCATTTTTTTTTATTTTTAAAAGTACAGCAGGGTGCCAAATGCGGGAAATGCATAAGATGGCAGTTAAGGATATTGTCGCAAGACTCTGAAGGGAAAATCGAGAGAGGTCTCAACTGTGACAGCCAAAAGCAGAACCTCCACATTCAAAGCTGTGTCTGCCAGTGCCGCAAGCCGGGACAGACCATTTTCCTTGCAGAGTGTTCTTTATTGACCCAAAAGTGCAAACCACCCAGAACGAATCTCTGAGCATGCGCAGAGCACTTTGTTGAACCCAGTCTAGTATCAACCTCCAGGAACACCACTGATAAGCCTGGCGGAGCCCCGTCCATTCGGGAGGGGGCTTCTGAAAGTGAGCACATCTCCTCTCCATGCACCAACTGTCTAATTGGGCTGCCTGTCTCTGGTGATGCCTTGTCATGGGGTGAACAGCTGCAGTTGAACTCCCATGTTCATGGTGCCCTCCCACCTGCTGTATCTCTTGAATATTTCCAGGAACTGTCTCCCCACCTGTGGAGTCTGCCCTTGAGATAAGCACCTCTGCTTCTCTCATCTCAGTGTCTTGGCACATCCCATATTCCTGGTGCACCCCCAGCCCCATTCTGCTTCACATCCGGATCCTGATTTTGATGAATCCCAGCCAGCAGTCCTTGAGAACGAGTGGCCAAAGCAGCCGTCCTCCTCACTCCCAACAGCCAGAGGCTGCAAACAAGCGCTGGAGAGCATCCTGCTCCAACATGTCCCGCACGTGTGCTGCTCAGGTGTGACTACCTGGCCAGGGAATGCTGAAGCAAAGAGCAAGAGCAACAAGCATGCATTTGATTCATGTGTGGTGGGGAGCACCCCGCCCCCCATTGGCCAGAGCATAAGAAAGTGCCCTATGTAGCACAACAGGATGTACCGAACCTGGAACTCACAACTGGCAACCTGCCATGACCATGCTTCTGAGTTGCACATGTTGGACCTTTTAGGACATTCGGCGTAATACAGTGAGATCGTTGGGCAGGGCTACTGGCACGATTCTGTTCCCCTTGATTGAATACGTGGGCTTAGTTCTAATCCAGAATGCCCATTCAAGGTTGCATTATACTCCAGACCTGTAATCTACCATGTTACTGTGCCCCCAAAGGCTTGTTGGTGCCAAGCAATTGGTTTACTGCACACCACCAAGTCCATGCTGGAAATCAGCTTTCCAAACAAAGGGCCCAGTCAGAAACATTTAGCTGCTCCTGTTTAGCAGAACTGAGGGCTTAAGGGGAACCTTGCTGAACCCAGCACAAGGCCTGCCTAGTCCAGCATTCTGTACACAGTAGAAAAACTAGGACCTCTGGGAAGTTCACAAGCAAACCATGACTGCAGTAGCCTCCGCCCGGCCCACCTTCCTAGCAATTGGCATACACAGACATATTGGAGGCATCATGATCTGAAGCCACTGATATCATTTTCCTACCTTGTAAATAGTGCCATGGGGAGGAAAGAAGAGGCTGGGCTAGGCAAAGAAAGCAGTGGCCTCTTGCTTTATGCAAACTGCAGAAATTCCATCTTTGATTGTAGAGTAAGCCATTGGAGGCACCTGACCATCAAACCAGGGGACTCATTTTGGAGGGCAATTTCCTGCTTGGGTATTTGATACGATTCGATCCTTGCATGTATATGTGATATGCATATACTAAGCATTTCATGATATCTTCCTTTCTTTTTATTTTCCCAGTGCGGGATGACCAAACTGTGAAACACTACCTAATCAAACAGATGGACAATGGTGACTTTTTCGTGAGCAGAAGAAAAACTTTTCAGACCTTGAGAGCTTTTGTCAGACACTACAGTACTTCCAGTGACGGGCTGTGTGTAAAGCTTGGGAAGCCATGTATAAAGGTAGCGCTAATTCAGGGCACTTTTCTGTCAAAATAGAGAAATATTGGTCATTGAATTGATAAGCGCTTAATCCCCCAACTAGCCATTATGATTACTTTAGGAAATCATACATAAATGCACCATTTCATTCTCAGAAGTAGCGTATCAATAAAAAAAAATGTCCTGCCATTTTTGACAAATAATTATGTGGCTTCAGGAGGGGGAAAAAACCTCGGCACTTCATGATTTATGGAGTCACAGTGTAAACCTACATTGAGATGAAATCACCAGGCTCATAACTCTACCTGTCTATAAGTACTGACTGAAAACAGCAACCCAAAACCTCATCAGGTTCCTTCCTAAAGGCAATATTTCATTGTTCTAAAAGCTTGCCTAGTTGTTTTTCTAAACTAGGGATTTTTAATCTTTCTGGTTCTAAAAGAAACAATTATGCTGATGCACATGACTATTAGGCAGACCTTTCATGCTTTCCCTATAATATTAGTCATTTCAGGAACAATAAGCATCTGTTTACACACATGCACTTTTGATCCATCAAAAGGTTCCAGTTTTATCACATGCATGCATACTGTGTGAAAATCTTTATCTCGCTCCCTGGAACTGACAAAATCACAGAACTGGCTGGGGCAGGCATGCTCTCACGTCCTGTTTGCTCTTCAGTGAAGGAGATCCAGAACTACACCATTCTGAGAAGACATTTGTCTAGAACTTAAGAGCATAATAGAAGTCATGCTGGATCAGACCCAAGGTCCATCTAGTCCAGCACTCCATACACACAGTGGCAAAGCAGCTGCCCACAGGATCTCTCAAGCAGGAGGGCTGCAAGATCTCGTCTTGCCCAGCTCCCCAGCAACTGGTGGGTGCAGACATGGCACCTCTGGTAAAGGAAGAGGCACACCTTAGTCAGCAAAGGTGGTAGCCACTGATAGCTGCTCCTCCCCCATGAATCTGTCCAATCCCCTTTGAAAGCCGTGTAGATGGATGGCCATCCCCACTTCCCATGGCAGCAAATTCCATGGTCTGTCTGTATGTTGTACGAAGAAGTTCTTTATGTTTATTTATTTAATTTATTTATTTAAAACACTTCTATGCCGCCCCCATCGCAGCAAAGCCTCGGGGTGGCTCACAACATAAATAAGACCTATAAATATAACAATTATACAATTAAATTAAAAACCCCGGTGACATCTTGGCTTAAAAATTTTAAAATCCTATAAATACAATAAATTAACAATTAAAATAAGTTTTAAATAAAAAGGTCTTAGCCTGGCGCCGAAAAACAAATAACGACGGTGCCAGGCGGACCTCTCTGGGGCGCGCATTCCATAGATGGGGCGCCACCGCAGAGAAAGCCCTCCTCCAGGTACTCACCCTCCTAATTTCCTTCACGGAGGGTTCCCAGAGAAGGGCATCTGCTGCCAATCTCAAGGGGTGGGAGGGCATATATGGACGCAAGCGTTTAGAATGTTAGGCTGGAGCCGGGGGTCAGACTAGATGGCCTGGGAGATCCCTTCTGACTTGGTCTGTTTCTGTGTTTCCTTTTATCTGACCTAAATCTCCCACCAATCAGCTTCATGGTATGACCCTGAGTTTGAGTGTTATGGGAGAAAAATGTCTCCTTTCTGCTTTGTCCACACCATGCATTATTTTAAACACCTCTATAATGTCTCCCCTTACTCATCTTTTTTCTAAGCCAAACAATTCCAGTTGTAGTCATTCCCCAGGGGGAGATATTCCAGCCCTCTGATAATTTTTGTTGCCCTTCTTTGTATTTTCCCCAACTCACCAATGCTTTTTTTAGGTTTAAAGGGAAAGACCTTTTCTGTTTTTATTTTGTATCTATTTTAGACTACACAAACCAAAGTTTTCTGTATGGTGTGCAGGTGAATTAAAAATATATAATGCACAATGACAATAAAATATCACAGAAGACATCTGAGATAAAGCCAGTAACAAGGGATCAAAATAGTACAATGCATAATGAAGTAAAAAATATCAGCAGCCAGGATAAAACTGTGCAAGTATCTAAAAGCAGAAAAATAATTCACAGCATGCCTGGGGAGATAAGGAGAGATTCACTTGGTGCTGAGAAGACCATGGTGGAAGTACTAGATCAACTTTAATAGGGAGAGCACCACTAAATAGGAGCTCTGCAGACCCTTTTCTTGTCCCTTTGACTTGGATTGGCAGCCAATGGAAAATGACTAACATAAACTGATTGTATTGGCCAGTCACAATGCACTAACACTTCAGTTTGTCTGCAAAACAAAATCTACACCACCCAAGTCTCCAACCACTTGCATGAGAGACATGAAGACATAACACACAGTCAGGACAAGAATGCAGCCATAGATACAGGGTGGATGTGCCTTTTTGCAGGAAATATTTTCAAAAGTTAGTACACTTTCTTGGAAAGATTTTATTCTTGAGAAAGCACAATGCCACCTGAAAAGTGCTGGAAACTTCTTAACAAGTAGTTTAAATAAAGTAATGTCTTTGCACACGAGAACTTTAGTGTCTACCCAATTTCTCTGGGCAGCACTACTTTCTACAGCAGTGTTAACTGTTCCTAATTCTGACTGCACAGATCAAAACACATCTGGATTCTTATATCATTTTAGTGGCATGGGAATAGAAGAGCACTGCTTCTATCTCTGCTGCTGGTATAATATGAGAAGCCCTCTGATACCATGCAGGTGTGGTCCTTGCTGTAACCCACACCAGCATCAGCCCTTGGCAAAAGGTTTCACCTTGGTAGGAGAAGCAGCCAGTGGGTCACACTGGTCAGGGCTTCTCACACTATCCAGAGGCACAGGCAGGAGTGATGACACCATGTCCTCCAAGTGATCACAGCAACCCAAGAACCAAATATAACCATCCACCTTCCACCGAATATAAACTTTGGCCTGTGCTCTCTGTTTATGTCAGTCCAGCAGGTGGAGTGGGAGAACAACAAGCAATGCTAGCCTGATTTAAAAAAAAATCTGAACATAATCAAAGTGATGGTTCACCATTTTGGACTGCAACTCCCTCTCCTTTTCTTAAGTAACAAATAAAGTTGAAGATTGGCAAAACTAATCACCCTCTGGAATGTCATATAGTAAATAACAGCTTCATTGGCTTCAGTCAGAGGGGACCTGCATCTTCAGTGTGGAATGCATCCTGCGAGTCCCAGTTTGTACAGAAGCAGTACTTCATTTACTGTTCACAGTTTCCGTTTAGCACATTGTCCCTTACTGGAAGCTGCAGAAGTGGCTATCTTGGGGAAGTCTTGGCAATACCAACTGTAGTTTTGAAAAGATCACTGAGTTTAAGTGGGTTGTTGCTTTGTTCCCACCTAGACAGAAGTCCCAGCTCCTTTGGAGTTGTCTTACCAAACCATAGATCAGTGGGAGATAGACCGGAATTCTCTGCAGCTCTTGAAAAGATTGGGTTCTGGCCAGTTTGGAGAAGTCTGGGAAGGATTATGGAATAATACTACACCAGTGGCAATTAAGACACTAAAACCAGGTATGTTGTCTATCCCACCGCATATTTCTTAATGCAGTTTGTATTTCTAAGTAGAGATTATTCTCAATTAGTACATTCAGTTATTCTAAAATAGAAAGAAACAACAGTGCTGCTTCTTTAAAATGGATGTGGTTATTGTTTGAGATCTTCTATGACAGCAAACCATTTTTATTTTTATTTTTTGCTGATTTCAAAGCAGAGGGAGGCCATTTGCAGCCACTGGCCACATACAGTCACTGCTCCACTGATGAAATTTCTGGTGGCAGCAATAATGCTCAGCTGTTTGCTGTCAGTTGCTTTTTTGCTGTGCTGCAAAATTCAGCAGTGCAGTGGGGATGCATGTACAGCTAGAAGTGGGGCAGTGTCCCTCAAAGTTACCCTCTCTTAATTTGAACTATTTATATACTCGTTTTCTTACTAGAACATTTTTCAAGGATTTTCTTTCTGATCTGTTCTTTCACATCCCTCCCCACACCCATGTGACAAAACAAGAGGTGGGCCGAGGAAGCTCCTTCCCTGATGCTGTAGCTGCTAGCATTCCCAGCTTTTCCACAGGATTGTCATCATCTGTGACCTCCATTCTTTTTCTTACCTGCTAAGATGTAGCAGCCACAATGTGGAATTATCTCCTCCAGTTTAGAAGAAGTGATAGTAACATGAAAGGAAAGGCACTTGGGATGCAGAATATCTCAAAACCCTCTTCATCCTGGGGAGCCTTTGGTGAGCCAGAATAAAGAGTTCACTGCTTGTGAGTAATAATGTTCTGGCTTCTGTTTAGTACATGGCCGCTTAATGAAAGGGTGGCTGTACATTTTGTGGTCTTTGGGCATCTTATAGTAAGATGGCAGCCTTGCCTGCATGGGCCCCAGGTTGCAGCTGGAGGAGCCAGCCAGAGCATGCTTCTCCATAACTCCCCACACTTTAAAAAATGAAACACCTGAATAGCATTTGACATATGAACTTGATGTTTAGGAGTCCAGGAACCATGCATTGTGAGGCCGCAGTAGTTTTCTCGAAAATTCCCCCTTATATTTGAATGGTTCACATTTTTGTAGAGCTGGTTTCCAGGTTATTCTCTTTATATTTCTGCATTTCCATTTTATCTGTGGTTTATTTGGCTCAAGGTTATATGCTGGATATTTCGTCTTCTCTTACCTTGGTCTTCCATTCAATTTTTGTTTATCAGCCGTTTGCTAAACATTTGCTAAACAAAGTATGTCATTTCACATAAAGAGAAGTGTGCGCAAGGTGAGGTAGCCCGAGAGGGTCCATTTCCAGCAGGGGCTGCAGCTGCTGCCAGAAAGCCATTTTTGTCCCCTCAGCATTCCTGCAGGCTTCTCTGGAAAATTTAAAAAGAAATCAAAACTGGGCAGCAAAGTTTTATTTTTTAGGGAAAAAATAGCCCCTGCAGCACTGGAGGTACTTGCTTTTTGCCGCCTAGCAAATCCTTCCACTGAATTCGGTAGGAAGGAAACAGGGAGGCCACGGGGCCAAAGGTTTCCCACTCCGGTCTGCCAGGGACTGATAGTAGCAGGAGGGGACATTTGCAGATGGGATCAAGCCCTCTTGGGGCAGGTCAGTTCTGGAAGCACGAAAAGGCATGTCTTCCTGTCATGGTGGTGGTGGGGTGTCCCTTTACTTTTAGGAGCAGTTAAGTGCTCCTTAAGAGCACTTTTAAGTGGCGGTAGGAAGCGAGGACTGCAGCGGGAAGTGGGAATGGCAATCCAGCCGCACAGGTGGAACTCTGGCTACGGTTCTTTCGATCTAAGCCAAAGTGTATGAAGGATAAAAGCATGGCTGTGCATTTGGGATGCTCCAAAATACTTTCACAACAATTATATTTGTCAGTGGAGAGAGGGAGTCCCAGACATTCTACAATGAACATTGCATTCCAGGGTAAAAAAAGGACCAAAAGATACTGAGTTTACTTTTAACCATGAATTAGTTTATGATTGAGCAATTATAATGTTATGTACATTAGCAATGGTGCTCACATTGCATTGCACTGTGCCCTTTTTATTCCCACAGCTGTATTAGCAAGCTTTAGTTGTTCCATGTTTAAAATGCAATTTGGAGTGGGGTTGGTGGAGTAGCAGTGGAAATGAAAGCAGTAGATCTGCCAAGATAGCTGGATTCCATGGTATCACAGCAAGTATGAGCAAGCCATATGTGCCCTCCTGCTCCATACATGCCCTCCCGCTCCTTGAGATCAGTGGGAGAGGCCCTTCTCCAGGAGCCCTCCGTGAATGATATTAGGAGGGTGAGTACCCAGAGGAGGGCTTTCTCTGCGGTGGCGCCCAATCTATGGAATGCGCTCCCCAGAGAGGTCCACCTGGCGCCGTTGTTGTTTTTTGGCAACAGGCCAAGACCTCTTTATTTAAATGTCATTTTAATTGTTAGCTTTATTTATTGATTTTATATCTTCGGCCAGGATGTCTCCAATTATATTGTTTTTGTATGTTTAACATGTATTTATTTATTGTTGTAAGCCGCCCCAAGGCTTCGGCGAATGGGGCGGCATAGAAGCTTACTAAATAAATAGGAAGAGAGAGTGTAGATTATTGAGTGACACTAATGTGGGTAGGATAGTCCAGGAACTGAATGCACATCTTGAGGTTCAGCACATTCAATGCATGGTGGAAAGGAAAAGGGATGCAGTGGTTTTTTTACTAGTTAAATACCTGATATAATTACGTGCAAGAATAAGATCTTCTAAAGAAGTTGCAGGAAAATTATGTGCTGAAATTTAACTACACTTTTTAATGCTTTGACTTACCCTGACCCATTCTGAGGGTCAGGGTATGAGCATTCCCCAGAAGACCTTTAGAAGGATTTCAGCAGACCTCTCTGATTTTCCTTCTGTCAATTCTGCCAGGCGTCCCTGGTCAAAAGTGCTCACGCGCTTATGCGGAATCCGCTCACCCCGGACTCAAACCAGGGTAATATACCAAGAAGAGTTTTCCAAAACTCCCCACTTCTGCCCAAGGAGCTCCCCCTGATTCTACTCGAACTCGCCTATTCTCATAGAGTTCAACTCTACTCGGGAGGCCGTAAGACAGGGATGGACAACTTGCCGGCCTCTAACCAGCACCGGCCTCTAACCGGAGGCCCTTTCTTTTCCCTCTTTTTGAAGCCGGTCTTCCCCCAAGCAGTTGCCAATTGCAATATTTACAATTTACAATATTTACAATAATACAATTGCAATAGTGGACCAATATTTACACTATACACAATTTTACATTCATTTCATAGAAGCTGTGACCATTTTATGGTCATATCTACAAACTGCTTAGGTTAAATGCAGATTTAAGATGATTTAGCCATACTGAAGTTATTCAGTACTTCACAGCCCTAAATTACCATTTAGTTTATTACACTTAAAACCTAAGGGTTTCTACAAGGTTTACTTCAATAAAAGTTAGGAACACTCCTTAACATTTGCTGTCCTTAATTTTGGATTCAGCTAGGCAATTCTACTACCAAATTATATTTTGTTATGGGTGCAATTAGATTCTACAGCAGCAAGCACTTAGAACAACAGATTAACTCTGTGACAAAATGGAATAGATGGAAAAAAAATAGAACTAGTTGATCTTCTTCAGATTACCATTTTATTGTAGCTATCCTTTGGCATGTACTTGATCATGCTTCCTCAAGCATAGCTATTTACTGTTAGAATTAATTGCCACTGGTGCATTTCAATCATTTAGTTTAAGGATCTTGAGAATGAGAGCATCCATTTGAGTGCATCCTCAGAGATGTTCAAAAGCTTTTCGACAGCCACAGGGGCTTTTCCAGTTCTCTCTCCAAACAGCAGCTTTCCCCCCCCTTCACATTGTTGCATTGTAAGTGGCTTTTTGAACTCAAAGGAATTGGAAAACAAAAACAGCTTGTGATGCAATATGGTGTGTTTATGTGTGCATGCAGGCATTTTCCTACCTGCCTCTTAGTTCAGCATTAGGGAAATTTTCTGAAGGGGCAGCGCCTGTTTAGCTTCTTTTGACCAGATTCGCGAGTCATTCGCTAAATGAGAAGCTTGAACAAGTAACTTCCCAAGTCTGGAATTTTTAAAAAGCCCACATTTGCTCATTGAGATATGATGCAAGGATTTAAACACTGCATGGCTTCTGTCACCAGGACTAATATTAAGATTACACAGTGGTGATCAGAGTAGCAAATTAAACATGTAATAATCATAGGAGCAATACTGTTGTAGCCATTCCAAACTCCACGTACCAATCAGGACATGGTAGCAATGATGTGCTCATATTACGTATGCATGGAAGGCATATTATGATGGCCACAGCCCTGTGCTTACCTTGCCTGCCCCATTATGCACGAAAGACATACGCAGGGTGGCAGGGAGCGCCCACAACAACTCCCACCTGTGGCCCAGCAGTTAAATTAGAACCAGCGGACACCTGCCGTGACAAGTTTCAAGGCTCCTTAGGCGGAGCGTGAATTCCCTGCAGGCCCAAGCCCAGCCAGCAGCAACCGGCAAACAACTCTCTTTTTGCTGGGGAAATCCCAGGGCCACAGTGGGGAGGGGTGGCAAAAAGCTTGTATTTCACTTACAGTCATCAGACTCCATTGTCGTTGCCCAGCAGCAGGGAGGGGCCCTGCAGGTAGGAAGCCAAAACCTGGCCGGTAGTTTTGTGAGAATGAGAATGCAACAGGAAATGAGAAATTTGGGTTAGACCCTGGCGAAATCCAAACTTCCACAATGTAATGAGTGGCTTTTGAGCATCCTGCCAGCAATCAATTCAAACCCATCTCACAGGCAATTTAGCATATGCTATCACCATGTCCCCTCCCCAGTAGGGAAAAGAAAGGAGGTTCCCTCCTTCCTTTTGTATTCCACTAGCAAAGCTACCTGCAAAAATCCTGGAAAGTCTATTTGCATTGTGAATTCCTCACTGAAATTAGTTGAGGTGTAGGAAAAAAATTAGAGAGGGTCCTCATCTGCTTGTAGAGCAGAAGCATAGCTTATTAAATAAAAATAATTCATATATAATTGCCTATATTGTTCAGATAAATATATTTATATAAATTATAAATGCATTTATAATATAAACTATAAATTATAAACACAAATTTATATTTATGCACAAATTATGTACTTCTATAAATTATGTTGGAATAAATTCTCACTGCATTGCAGAGGGATGGAATCGCCAGCCTTTTCATTCTTGCAGGGCCATGGCCCTGAGAAAGCTGCGACGCCAACGGGAGGGGGAACATGCAGGGTTCCTTATTATGGGCCCTGCCAGCCTGTTGCTTGTGTGCCTGTCATGCAGAGCAGCGCAGGGAGGGAAACTGTGGGGAAGACCTTTACCTCTTTGAGCAGAGGCCAGGTAGCATGTGGAAAGACAAGGGAAACATGAGAATAATGCTGAATAATCCTTAGAAGCTCCAGCAGAGTGTTCCTTTGTTTGTCTGATTGTCACTGCCATCCCAAGGCATTTTGTATCCTGAGATGAAGGACGGATTGGGGATTAAAAGACAACAACAATGCATGAGTTGATGAAGCATTTGCTGCCCTTCTGTGACGCCCCAAATCCGCTGCCTAGGGTGGGTGCCTCATTGCGCCTGGCAGCACTGGCCCTGTTGTGCTCAAGGGTGGCTTCCTTGATCAGTAAAAATGCTTCTCGCCTCTGCCTCTCAGGTGCTGACAGAGGGAGCCCCGCAAGCCCCCTTGGCCCCCCTTGTGTCCATCATGACAAAGGTGGTTTTCCATGCCACTGCATTTACCACATTCCATTATGTGCCTTCAGGTTCCTCTCTGTCTGGAATCCTCCTAAACGGAGAGCTAAAATTGGATTATTGGCATGACTCTGTAGCTAAAATAATGGTGTTGACTGGAGCTAGTGGACATGGGATTGAATTCCGGTGATTATTAGGATGAAAACAACATAACCAATGTTCTTTAAAAAAAAACAATGAGGATACTGATAAGATTTACTTACATTCTTTTTGAACTATACAGTTAATAGTGAATTTGAATATCATATCAAATCTTGTTATTCAAACCATGTATATCAACCTTCTCCAACCTGCTGCCCTCCAGATGTTTTGGACTATAGTATCCATCATCTCCATCCATCACAGGCAATGGCTGTGGTAGCTTGGGATAATGTGTTGACTTGTAAGTTAACACATCTGGAGGACACCAGGTTGGAGATGGCTGATGTTTATGATCCTGATTTTCCAAGAGCTTTGTGATTGCCATTGGTTATGTTATATTGTATGATTATATTTTTATATTACAGTTTTAATTGTATAAAGTCTGTGTATACTTTACATGGCATGCTATAGAGAATATTTTTAAAATACTTAAATAAAACAAAATGAATATATAATATTTTTAAATTTCTCTTATTAACTGCCTAGGACAAAATCAATCTATTAATTTTAATGCATACTATTTTAGTTTGACATGCTTTGAAGACCTTAAAACTTTTTATGTACATGTAATCATGAATCATACTTTTATTTTCATGTTGGAAGATGATTGAACTTACCAAAGGCTTGTTGGAATATGCCCTCTAGCGTACAAAATATTGTTTATGGGTGTAATACAATATTACTGAGAGGTGGGGGTGGAGACATAATAAAAGATATAGGGACAATAATTTCTAGGAGCATTGAAGGCTTCAATGTTGCACCATTAAGAAGCTTCACCAAATAAATCCACATTTACTCCAAATCATTTTCTTCCAGACCAGCTAGAAGAATTCTTTCCCAGTCTGGTTTTTTGATTCTGCAAATGCTAGATTAAAAATCCAAATTATTAGTCTACAGCCTTTAGAAAAGCCTTCAATTAACCTCACAGAGAGAGGCACCAGATTCCTCATTAAACTGGCAGCAATCTTCATAAAAGCAATGCAGTGCCATGAAGCATCAGTAAGTCCTTTGATTAATACATCAGTGTTGGGTTGAGTTTTCTTTTTCTTCTTTTCTTTTTAATAGTGTCAGCTGCTTTTACAAGACTAGCAAACCTATAAGGTTGATACATTTTTCATTTTATATACCCTGGCACTAGTTCTGTTGCTGGATGTTGTGATTGCTGAATATTGTCCAAATGCCCTTTAATTTTCTTCCTTGTAAGAAAAAAGATGCCTTGCAAGAGTAGAATGCATCCCACAGTGACAACCTAGTGATTACTTGGCAAGAGCTATAAATAAATACATAGCTGAATGCAAGTAAACTAAAACAGCTAGGACATGCAGATGTTTGGACCATTCACCCTTGTAATCTTGGATTCAAGCAAGACTCCCCGAGGAGTGTTACGTGCCCCTGTATGCAGTGTTTAGGTTGGCTCAGGTATCACAACGAGGCCCAACAATATCTGATTGATTGAATGATTGATTGGACTTGTATCCTGCCTTTCCATGAAAAAATTGTACCAAGGTGACTTACAACTATAAGACTAAGATTAAAACAAAAGCTAAAGTCTTAACAAATACAAATAAATTAAAAGCACAGTTACAAACATGACAATAACAGTAATAAACAGCTCATGAGCTACTAAAAAAGCCTTGGCATGCCTGAATAAAAACATCTTGTTATTATTTTATGGGTATGTTAATAAAGTTGTTCAAATCTACAAATCTCAGTTACTATGCATTGCTTTGTGCACTAATATGCTTTCACCAGAAAGTTCAGGGCCAAAACAAACATCACTGTAAATCCATATCTAGCGGACACACCTTTTGGAACACGTTTTGACTCAAGAGCAGGCACAAGTTGCAGGAGAGGACAATTCAAGTTTGGATCCTAATATGGGTGATAGGAAGCTTTTAAGATCTGAATTGGGCCCTGTAGATATATGTAGCTTCTACATAGGGATGTAAAGTAAGGGTCCTTATGTCTCTCAGTTGGGGCAGAATGATTCTTCAGCTTTGCGGCATCCCTTCAGACTTCAATTGACAAATGAAGACGCATAATGTAAGGTGGTGTCTTCAACATTGCTACCATATAAACAATGTATAAGGTAGTAGTTCCTACCATCACTGTTTACCTCGCACCCCTTCATAATTCTGCTTATATAGAAGCACAGAAAAACTGCCATATAGCAAGTCAAATCATTGGTTCCTCTAAATTGGTACTAGTGGCACTGATCAGGTGCAATTCACAGAGAATACTTAAAGTAATTTTCTAACTTGCAGCTGTTTCTGTCTATTGAAGACATATTTTCCATGTATTTTTCTGTATTTTCTAATATATCTGAACTACTTCATGAACTTTTATGAAGTACAACTTTCTTGGTTAAGCGTACTGCATGAGAAGTGTGGTGGAACCTTGCATCTTGTTCCTTGGCTGAACAGACTACAATAAAATTCTAAGCAAAAAACATGTTCTGTTCCAGGGTATAATGAGCTGCAGCAATGTAGCTTGGAGGTGATGAAGAAGCAAATCATTACTGCTTGGGTCTGTAGCTAGAGGGATTGATGCAGACAACTGAGTTGTTCAAAATTACTGCACAGTTTCTAATCATGGTTCCATTTCTAGTATCCAGGAGCAGTAGTGAAACCAATAAAGCATCGCAACTACAGCGTTAGTCATAAAATGACCAATAGCCTTTACATCGGGGAGAAAAACAGAGCCACAGTTTCTATATTATCTTTTTTATTATCATTAATCCTGAGAAAAGTAACGATATTGAACCTGTGTTCTGCTTTGCCGTTTCACATCCATGAATTCCTTCTCACTTCAATAATTTTTGCAGGTTTGTGTATTAATGTCCATACTAGTCTGGAGAGAGAAAGAAAGAATCTCTAGTAATTTTCACAAGACTCTGGGGCAAGAATGTTCCTTAATAACATGGGCTCCTTTTGTTACTCTTCTCATTTCAGGGTCAATGGATCCAAAAGACTTCCTGAGGGAAGCACAGATAATGAAGAGTCTGAGACACCCAAAACTTATACAACTGTATGCTGTTTGCACTTTAGAGGATCCAATTTATATTATTACGGAACTGATGAGACATGGAAGTCTGCTAGAATACCTCCAAAGTAAGTGGAAAACATTTTCACTCCCCAGTGTAATGGTTAGAGTGTTGGACTTGGACTCAGAAGATAGGAGTTCTTTTCTGGCCATGAAGCTCACTGGGTCACTTTGGGCCAGTCATGGACTCCTGCCTAACCCACTTTACAGGATCATTGTGAGGATAGGATGGAGAGAGCTACCTTGGGTTCCTCGTGGGAAAAAAGGGAGGTTATGCATATAGTACATAAATAAGTATTTATTATTTGCTATTAATAAAAATAAATATTTATTATTTGCTATTAATAAAAATAAATATTTCTTATTAATAGAATAAATATTTCTTATTTCTCAAATATTCATTTGGGAATGTTGTGACAATAAACTGGTTTGGCCTTGTAATGATGGATAAGGAAAACAGTAAATGACAGTCATTTGCAGATAGCGAGAGCCATCTTCTATGTATGCAAACCTGCACTTAAGAATGTATAAATGCATTAAGAGCGTGCAGCATTTTGCTTGCCCATTCTTTCCCGTATGGGGATATTCCATCACAGAAGGTCTGTAAAGGGGATGGGGTTTTAAGTAGTATTAATTGACTGACTCATTTCCTTCAACATGCAGGAGATTTAAAATAGGTAACAGGCAAGGATCAAAGGGAAAACCAATGGCCACTTTGGTCTTTACATTGCATTTCCTCTCCACATTTTTGTCTTTCTTCCCGTCTGCATCCCATCATAGCAATAACATTGTAAATAATTTAGGTTGACAGATTCTGGCGGGCTCAAGGTTATCCAGTATGCTTCCTGGCTGAGTAGAGATTTGTACCCAGGTTTTCCTGGCCCATGTCCAATTCTCACATGATTGCTCATGTGTTAACACTGTTTATCACTGGAAAATGTCCCTGTCATCACATCGAGCAGTCAGTGCATTAAAAGAGGCGATTTCAGTGAAGGCCTTTCTTCATGCTGTCTACAAAGGGCTTTCAGTGGTACATCCTTGCTAATAGTAATGCTTGGAGGTTTGTCAAACGGTCCTGTGAGAACCAGTACAGTACTATGTACACCTGGCTTACCACTGAGTAAACATGACTAGCCACTACAAATGTGAAATTAGGAAGAAGCACTCTCAAATTACGAGATGGAACTGTTAGGCAGGCCTTGTCTCTCTGATTGTAAATAACAGGTACTTTTTCATGCGTTGTATCAGAGATGGGCATTATCTCCCTAAATGAGGCAGGGGTGATGGGCTTGCAAACTACAGAATAATATTTATGCCAGCTAAAATAAGAAAGAAAGAAAGGAAGGAAGGAAGGAAGGAAGGAAGGAAGGAAGGAAGGAAGGAAGGAAGGTATGTGAGCATGGATGTTTAGGGGTATGTATCAGCACATGCATGTCTTCTCAGAAGTAAGTCTCACTAAGTTCAATGTTATTTACTGTCAGGTAGGTGTGTATAGTAGGACTGATATTAGATAATAGGTAGAGAACTCTGGCTCTCTGTATGTTGTTGGACGCCATTTTCCATCCGCTCCAGCTGGACTGGCCAATGCTGAGGTATTATGAAAGCAGTAGTTTGTAAGTGTTTGGAGGGCCACAGATTCCCCAGCTCTGATCTAGCTTAGTTATAAATACTGAAAAAACAAAATGTGAACAACATGCGTCCTTGAGTATCAAATATATTAACAAGGCTTATTTTAAGGGAAAGTATATTCATGAGAATTTTTGCATAGTTAAAAAATAAAGACTACGATGCAGAAACAGGATGGACAGGACTTAAGACTAAATAAATGAATACACGACAGATGGTCCATCCATCCTTAGTGAACCCCTCCAACATAATTTAAGGAAAATGAAAACCTGGCGAGCCTATTAAAGGGGGCATTGTGCATGCCAACCCCCTGCTTAAAGCTTGTCCTTTCTTTACTGAGGACAGTGCAAGAATTTCCAAACAGAAAAATTCAGACCGAGATACTTTTAGTTTACATTTTCACATGCAAATCCGTTTAGTAACAGAACTAAAATAATGTAGCACTGCTGCTAAAATGTCATCCTGCTATATGAGTTTGAGGGACGTTTAACATTCATGCCTGTAGACAAAGAATGTTGCAGCAATACACGCACATTCTGCAACCCCACTTAAAAGCCCAAGCTTTCAAATCACATTAGCAATGCTATGAAATACATGAATTTACTCTTGTGATTTATAAGTTGGGCAACCCCCCCAACACCCTTATTTTGCGGATATGAAGAAATTATTCACGGGAAGGCAGAGGAGGAATGAGTATTTCTGATGGCGGTAGCCCATGGAGATTTATCATCCTTCCAGGAGTTGGCTCTGCTGGTGTCATGGATCAAATTCCATTATATTTTTTGCTTAGCAAATACCAATTTGCATTTCTGGGTGAAACAAAATTGCCATAGAAAAAAGTACAGTGGCTGCTGTAATGTTTCAGGATCAAACAAATGCTTTGAATTAGGTAATGGGGGTCAAGGTGGCCGCGTGTAGGTTTTGGACTGAGGAAGGGTTCTTGCCATACATAATGTAGCAAGTGTAATATAAGCCTTTAGCATTCCAGTTCCATGCTTATTCACAAGCAAGGCCCAAGGAAGTGTGCATATTCTTAATAGTATTCATAAGTGATGCCAAGTTTGTTATAGCCTAGGGAGTAAGGGAGTAAGTTACTAGGCCTAGTAAGTTACTAGGGAGTAAGTCCCAATGTACTCAGTGAGACTTAATTCTGAGTAGACATAGTGATGGTTGCTCTGATATGGCCTTATCATTTTGGCCTGGGATGTTTGGCTTATCATAAAAGAGCCTTAAAGAAAAGAATGGACACTTGTTCAAGTGGGTCCAATCTGTTTATGAGGAACATCCATTCATTTTTGTGTATGCCCATTTTCACCTGATTGTTCTGCTCCAGCCTACAATCTATTAAATGAAAGAGCAATAAATTTGAAACAGAAAGTGAACAATTACATGTATGAGATTTTGGATGTATATTATTTAAGTCTGCAAGTGACCTTCCTATGTTAGCTGTCGCTTTTCAGTTTAATCCATGCTACTATCCTTTTGGTTTTATCTGAGTCCTTGACTTGGTTTTCACCCATCAATTAGCTCTCTCAAGGGTAGAAGATCTCTCCCCTTCCCCTCCATTCCTACAAGTTGTTTTGGTTCTTTACAGATGATGGGGGTTTGAGGATCCACTTGCCCCAACAGGTGGATATGGCAGCTCAAGTTGCTGCGGGAATGGCTTATCTCGAGTCTCAGAACTACATCCACCGCGATTTGGCAGCCAGAAACGTCCTGGTTGGTGAACACAATGTTTACAAAGTAGCAGATTTTGGACTTGCACGGGTTTTTAAGGTATTAGTTTATTTCTTAAAATTAATCTCTTAATATTGAAAGTGCATTTGCATTCCACACTTGACATGCAAGGAATCGCATAATTACATTTCTATATTGCCTGTAGCTGAAGCTTTCTGGATCACCCATCAAGATTTCAACCAGGCTGGACTTTGCTTAGCTTCCAAGATTAGGCAGGTTCAGGCACTTCAGGCAGTATGGTAAGGTCTACTAGGAATATTCAGAAGCCGTATCCATATTCAGCCCCTATACTGTATTTGGAGGCAGTGTATTTCTGGTTAATTGATACTGGAAGCAAACGATAGTGGTTGGCCAGCAACATTATATGCTGGTTCTGAGGCTTCCAGGGCTGCTTGAAGGCTGTTGCTAGAAGTATAGTTTCAAGAAGGGCTATTGAAAGAATCGAAGAGTATTGAAGGAGACATTTATATTTGGTAAAGAAATAGGGACTTTATTTCAGAAATTAATAGATTTGTTTTAAATTGGTCTGAGAAATTAAGAAAATGAAACATTAATTTTTCACCAGCATCTATGAACTTTAAAAAATGTATATAAATTGAATAGCAGTCCCCTGAGAATTAGTGGTACATTTAATACAAATTTGCGAAAGTAGGTCTGAGGGAGGAAGCAGATTAAGCTCAGCACACCTCAGTTGCAAGTAAATAATTCCCCTTTTATTATCCAAAGTCTGTCAACTTGCTTTGCCTAAATTAATTGGTGCCACTTTGAACCAATATATGAATTTGACTCTCTGGGAGCCTGCCTTTTTCAGCCCTAGAACTGTTTAACTGATGATGATCAAAGTCAATGGCCCTTTGGTACCAGCAATTAATCACAAAACAAAGATTCCTGAATGCATTAGCTCTTGCTGCCACTTTGTCTTCCTCCTGAAGGCTAGACATGAGCCCCGTGCCTCTGATGCCAACAGGAGGCTCGCACAGCTGTCATATCCAGATTCCAGATGCACAGTGGTAGGTCCCACTGCGTATCGAGAGTGGGCATTTCAATACTGCATGTACACTTGGCGAAAGAAGGCCTAGGGCTGAATGAACAGAGATTCGATCTGCCTAGCATCGTGACAAAGAATGTTTAGAGCATCATTGATTTGAAGGCCTTTGTGATAGTAGGATTGTAAGATGTACTATCCACATATACCACAAATGCAGGTAACATCTTACTAGATACACTAAACATACTTGTGACTTGGACCTTATATTTACTTACTATAGAACTCACAGGTAATTCCCTAGGACTTATATCTGAGTAGGTATGTTTATATACTAACCTGCTGTAAAGAAATATCATGGAAGGAAAGTTACCATCTCTTTCTCCTCCTGGCATTCCTGCTCACCACATCCTACATTTTTCAAGAGGGCTTACAACTTTCCAGCCATTTTGGGGAGGGTGTTGCAGGTGTTTGATGCAGGAAGGAGATAGGAAGCTTTCCTTTGTGCACTCCCTAAATTAGCATACTTAGCGCCCATTTGGCAGTATCTTAAAAAAAAAACAACTTCAAAAACACCTCAAAAAGTCTTTATTCGCCCTTTTGTGTGGCCCCCTATTACCACCCTTGAGAGTGGTATAACCCTGTTGCCCTATAATACATCTTACATACCTTAGCTGCTTCCCATTTTCTTCTTCTGGAAGACAATGTCCACTCCCATGATGTCAGTCTGTTCACCTGTATCCCCGTACATTGCATGCCACCATTTTCCACTTTTCATTGTTCTTGGTGGGCAGACTGCTCTATCTGGCGGTTGCATGATGCAACGTCACATGTTTGAATATCCAGGAGTGCATCCATCACATGTTTTGCTTTCTTTGCCTGTGACATTAAGGTGAAAAACATTAGAAGTCCCTTCCCAACGTTCTTGTGCTATTTTTAATATATTTCCTTCCAATTCTTCTCCCTTTCTTGTTTTTTATTTCCAGGTCATGCTACTAGGAATAGAGCACAACATAATACTAGCAAACGTACTCTTTCTTGGCAGATGAGTGCTTTAGAGCGCATTCTTAGAAGTTATGATGTGAGAAAGGGGTAGTCTTCTAATTAGGATGTTGGAAAATGTGTTCAAAGCCATTTCAGATTCTGGGATAATTTTAATTGGCATGTTTTAATTAAAAAATAAACATGGATATGACATGGCACATTCCTTTTTACATACCCTGTTATATACCCTAACCTGTACAGTTAATCTTTATATTATGGCATTGTTTCTTTTTCTTTTCTATGAAATAGCTAGAAAATGAAAATGTATATGAAGCCAAACATGAAACAAAACTACCTGTGAAATGGACAGCCCCTGAAGCAATCCGATCCAATAAGTTTAGCATTAAATCTGATGTCTGGTCATTTGGAATACTCCTTTTTGAAATAATCACATATGGAAAGATGCCTTATGCAGGTGAGTGTCTTGTTCAACAACAATATTTCAAAAAAAAAAATCTTTGGTGGCCCTGCTAGTCTTTTTTCAAATTATTGGAAAGTCTGCAACAATCTGAAATTTTGTGTGTGCAATTAAAAAAATGGATGACCCATATTTGTGGTTTGGAACCTAATTCACAGAAATGTAAACAGAAGCTAGGGTTGGCTTTATTATTAGGCAGTGGGGGCTGGGGGTGAGGAGTGGCCATGTGCTACCAGAAGACAGAGTTGTGTGCACCACTTGGCTGGGCCTACATCCCCTGAGCTGGTAGGTTGCTCTCAGGTGCAGCAGAAGATGCTGTCTTGCCTCTAGTGTTTGAAATAAAGTTCAGCTGCCAATCATGTTGGGTTCTGTACATAGGATGGAGAAGAAGTGGGCACCTTGCCCTTCCCCTCAGGCAGCAAAATGTTGCAGGCAGGCCCCAGGAGAAGCTATTTGGTAAACTCCAAAGCCATTTGATTGCAGTCTTCTGCAATTGCATATTCGGAACCATTTCTGTGGTAACCAATTGTCCATGCTCCTAGGCTAACGATATTCTTGACTAGAAAGGCAGTAAGAGAGGTAAAGAAGTTGATCTTCTGTCAACACAGAAGTATTAGGGAAATGAAGGATGATGACTGTAGATTTTTTAAAAAGTACGCATTATCATCTTGCCAGAGCTTCAATGTCAGATTTTAAAAAACTATATTATAGGTATGATGGGCTTTCAAGTACTCCAGAAACTGGATCAAGGATACAGAATCCCACAGCCAGCTAATTGTCCTCAAGAGCTATACAACATCATGCTACAATGCTGGAATGATAAACCCAACGATCGACCAACTTTTGAAACATTGCGCTGGAGTCTGGAAGATTATTATGAGATGGATTCAACATCCTATGCAGATGCAAATACGTTTATGGAATGAACAACACAATTTTCCTACTGATAATTTAAGTGAAAATGACCCCCTCTTCCAACTCCCAAAATATATCACTTTAGCGAATGTGTGCCTTTGTCTTTAAATGAGCCCTTGTAAAACATGCATTCACACACTCACTGTGGACCCATCTGTATATATAAATCCATCATCTTCACACTTTGCTTTATGTGTTAGGAAGATAGAAAGCTGATCTGTGCTGGCAAACCATTTGTCTGTCTAGCCCAGTGTTGTTGGCACTGACTGGCAGAGAATTCTCAAGGTTTCAGGCCGAAGTGGAACACCTGGGACCAAACTCTGGATCTTCTAAATGCAAACCATGTGTTGAGTCATGGTCCTTAGCTGAAGAAGACTCTTGGCCACGTGTCTGCTCCCAGCTACATCCAAGTAGGCCAGCTACTTCTCACAGTTTTCATCCAAGTAACTGTGAAATCAAGCTAACCTCAAGACAGATGAATGAGGAGGGTAAAATAATGATGAATCTTAAGGAATGCTTGCTTATTAAAATCCGGGACAATGTGCCAAGATCTTGATGGCAGTAGTTTGTCTTGTAAGATTAAGCAAAGTGAAACTGGCAGAATTTTTATCTTTTTGCTGTGCAATGAAGTTACTCTTCTATTTATTATTCAAACAGGCGATGGTAAAGAACACAAATCATGAGCCAATAGCTACTGCACAATAGGCATTGTAGCACTGGACTTTTTATATATAGGACTGGTTATTTGTTGCTCTCCAGATTCCTCGGCTTATCTGCTAAATCCCATCAGTTGGTTATTATGAAGGAATTTGATTGCAGTTGTGCACAGCAGGACCAGGAAAAATATATTTTATTTCCTGTTCTTTCTCTAAATACCCTGTGGCTACAATTTTGGCAATGCTGCATTAAAGGTCTTTGTTCTACATGGAGTGGATGAATATTTGCTTCAGAGAAAAATGATGCTATGTGTTGAAGAAAATATTAGCATTTTGTAGAAATAAAGTGATTCAAATAAGAGAGTCTGTCTTACATTCCGATGATGAGCTCAAGTTGATAAATGTGCATTACCCTTTGCGTTGTTTTTGTGATTCATATGCTATAAAATTGTATATGATGCCAGCAACAGAACCTCTATTCATATTAGAAGGACTTGGGTAGGGCTCTGTTTGACGCTGCTTTCAAGCCATGACTTTGAGCACTGCAGATGAAGTACAGCCCTGCTTATTCATTCCTCACACATGGATACCTGCTTATGCTTGCCTGGCCAAGGAACTTGTTTTATCCTTAGGTGGAGCTTCTATTGACAAGAATCCAACAGAGCTGTGTGTCTGCACCAGTACTGACTACATTTTGGCCCAGGCTCCTGGTTTATGAGGTGACCATGTATAGTAGTTAGATTATACCTGTTGGAAAACAGAAAAAAAAATCAAGAGAAAGTTCCAATACCCTCCATGACACTAGTTTATTCCTCCTATTTCAGTAGACTTTTGTCTACTGATTATTAGATTTATTTGGAAACCTTTTGCACATGAGGTTGCACATTTGCACACGCACTCACTTGTTTATATGCAGAAAGTGTTTTTACATGGAGGACAGTTTAATCATCTGGTACTTGGAATGGTTGTACTACAATTCACTTTCTTTCGTCACCCACAAAAAATGGAACTTGATCTTATTATAATAGATTCCATTGCATAACACATCATTTTCAGTCACATAAGTTTCTTCTGTGAAAATGGTTAGAGAATGAATTGCAATGAAAGTTCACCACATCATGCAATCTCAGCTATACTCCTAGGTTTGGAGTATGGATGGGGAGCCATTATGAATTCCCTAATTATTTTCAAAAAGTATATTCCACTGTTCTGATTTATGGAGGAAGCATTTTAAATGCCATTATGCCTCTGAAATGGTACTATGTTCAGCAAATACTTTGTGGGAAAACATCAGGGATGGATTAGGAGCTGTGTTAGTTCCGTCAGCACTGGAGCAGTTTCTTAAAAGTAAGGACAAAAGCCACTCTGCTAATAGTCATCCCTTGTGAAGGTATTTTTCCAGGGGTCACACATTTAAAGAATTTCTTCTGTCACTGAAAAATTCACCAAAGTAGCACCCCACTGTTGCAAGGCTGCCTGTTCAACTCCGATTTAGTCAGGATTGACATCCGTGGTGGGTGTCACAACACCTGAAGAGGTTACCGCCTCTGCAGGATTCCCACTGTCAGATGCTCAAGCCTCCTGTGGCTTCGTAGGGCCACCTGCCCTTTACAAGCATGCAAGCAGTGAGACGAGCAGGAGGTCAAGCAGAATCCTTCCTCTCACTTGCACTCTCCTTTTGAGCAGTTGTGCAAATGGAGAGCAACTGGGCACCGGAGACAAAAATGGAGGCGGACGTATAGACTGCACATGCACATGGTAGGCATGTCGTGAGAGGAGCTGGCTGGAGCCGGAGGTCAGACTAGATGGCCTGGGAGGCTCCTTCTGACTCACTCTGTTTCTATGTTTCTAAGTAGGCCCATTCAGGGAGGGACCTCCACAGGAAAGCACTTTGCCCACGCTTTAGGCGCACTCACCCAGTCTAAGGCTTGCACTGGGTTTAGTTCAAACTGGATTGGGCCAACTACCATGTCTGCCTTTACTGCACATAGACAAGAAAATGCTACCAGGCCAAACTAATCACATTCTGTGAAAGGGGACTCTCCAGGGGTTGGGCTTCAGCCTGTTGGGTTCCAGGATGCAGAGGAACTGATATTCTGGAATCAGTATAATAAAAATGTAGAATCAAAAAAGGCAAGGTGCACGGCCAGTGTGGCAATTGCGAAAATCAGGGAGATGATGCCGGAGACAAGTTCGACAGGCTTAAAAGCAAGGTTTGAGTGAGAGTGAGGCTTGATGGATAGACTGACCTTTGGAAATCAGCTGACGGGGCATTCCAGCAATGCGACTTAGAGGGCAGCCTTGAAGCATTCCAGCCTGACAGCTTTGCAGTTGAAACAGCATTACGCACCAGCACAAACGTCTGAAAGCCTCGGCATAAGGCTTGCTGCCTGGTGCCATATGCTGACCAGACTCTGATAAATACCTCTGGGCAATTTTGGATCAGCTGTGTGCTTCGGTTTCTCATTGCCCATCTTGTATTCTGTTCAGTAGCTGCCCACACTAGCACATCTTCTCACGGGAGAGGGCTGGTGGTCCTGAATTTGCCCTTGCTGAGCAGAGTTCCCATAAGCTGAATGGGGAGAGGCACTTTTTAACTGGTTCCTCTTCCTCCTCCTCTTCCTACAGCACTTTATGCCTCTGAAAATCTGCACCAGGGGTTTAGTTGGGCTTTAGGAGAGTGAGAATTTTACCAAATCTAATAGCCAGTGTAATATAATGGTTAGGGCACTAGCTTGAAGAGACAGGTTCTAGTTGCCAGTTGGCCATGAAGGTCACTGGGTGATTTTGGGCCAATCATGGACTTGAAGCCTAAGTTACCTCACAGAGTTGAGCAGAATTATGTAAGCCTTCATGGATGGGATGTAAATGAAACAAAATAAACAGACAATTTTTTTTTAATTTATATCCTGCCTTTTTCCTACAAAGGGCTCAAGGCAGCTTACATCATTCTCCTCCTCCATTTTATCCCCACAACAACAACCCTGTGAGGTAGGTTGGGCTGAGAGGCTGTGACTGGCCCAAAGTCACCCCGTTGGCTCCATAGCTGGGCAGGGACTAGAACCCAGATTGTCTGAGTCCCAGTCCCAGCTCTTAATCACTACACCACACTGGCTCTCATAATTTGCCCCTCCATTCACAGAATCCTCTACTGCCCCTTTCCTTTTCCACTTGAAATCTTGTTTAGGCTCAAGATCTGTATTCCTCTGCTGCCCACATGACACCTTTCATTTAGACCCGGCCACTTCATTCTTTCTGGCACTACCAGTACTAGCCCTCCGCTCTTCCCCAGTAGCATATTGGACACCTTCTGACCTGAGGGGCTCATCTTCCGGCGTCGTATCTTTTTGCCTTTTGGTACCGTCCATGGGGTTTTCATGGCAAATATTTTGGAGTGGGCTGCCATTTCGTTCTCCAGTGGATCACATTTTGTCAGAGCTCTCTGCTATGACCTGTCTGTCTTGGGTGGCCCTGCACGGCACAGCTCATAGCTTCATTGAGCTACACAAGCCCCTTCGCCACGGCAAGGCAGTGATCCATGAAGGGGAGCTCCTATTTAGATATCAGAAATTCAGTTTTTAAAAGAACGTTTTACTTTAAGTTTCCTATATTCTTTCTACACCAACAGAACTTATAGCGAAGAGAAAAGACAGAGGAAAGCTAGGCTGCTACTTTAAGGGTGGCATATTTGGAGCACAGGATCAAAGGCACAAAGCACTAGAACCTGCAACACAGAAGAGACCTAGAATGGAGAAGCAGTATTTGTGAACTGGGAATCAAACCAATATTATATTCTTACGAATGGACTGGAATGGGAAAAGCAGGAGGACACAAAGGGTTGGATCCATTTTCTTTTCCACTAGTAGGAACACTCTCCTAGCAGAGTTCTGCTCGGAATACAACTGCTGGTGGAAAGAGGGAGAAGTTAGGTTTCATGATTCCCCTTTCCTCTGCAGTCTTGGCAGTTCCTCCCTCACTGTTTCAGAGGGTCCCCCAGCCTTCCACAACTGATCTTTTTGGTGGAGGAGCGACTTAGATGCTACAGGGGAGGGGTGTAATGATCCAGATCATCACCTCTTCCACCCCATGCAGGATTCTTCCACTGGATCATCAAGTTCCTGCAGAACAGATATGGTTCTCCTGTATTTGCAGGAGCCAGTGTCTGGCTCTAACCAGAATTTTCACTTTGGGCACATTGAAAGCAATGGAACTGGACTTTGTCCTATTTCCCCCATGTATCTAATTGGGACAATTGTATCTATATGGCTTGACTTTGCCTAAACCAGTCTAGCAGTACAGATATATGGGTGGCTCTGTATTCCTTAGGCTCAATGGAGCTGGCTGCCATGTAATTTCTTTTCTTTTTTTCAGCAGCAGGGCAGGGGACTGTGAACAGGAATAAATGGATTCAATAGGCAGTCCTTAGAAGTG